AAAAAAAAAAAACATCCTTCATTCTCCTCTGATTGGTACATGCTTAATTTTATTGAACCAGGGCAGAGCTAGCTAATGTTCCTTTCACTAGCACCATCTGTACCCAACCAAACCAACCCTAGTTTACAATGTCAAGGGTCAAATTAAAGATTGGAGATCAATTATTACCAGGACATATTTTATAGAGATAGAAAAAACAAAACAACTAAACCTCAGTGAAATTGTGGTCCATTCCTGGGTTTAAGCAGTTAACACAGCACTAGGCTCGTTTTACAAGTGGTGGGCTCATTAACAGCTGTACTGACTTATGGCTTCTCCTATACCCTCTCAGATTGCACAGTTGCTGATACAGAAGGGGGTAGTGAAGGTTTCAAACAAGGAGTGATCCTCTGGGTGTCTGAGCAAGGCTGCTCTTCCAGGATGGTGGTTAGTTCATGTATTGTAAGAAACCCTGGAGAGTCCATTCCTCAAAGGCGAGACTTGGGTTGACTTTCTCTCCAAGACACTTAGTACGTAGCGTGTGCACCATTGGGAATTAAAGAAGTACTTTGTGCTGCTAATACTTATGATAAAGATGTGTTCATACCAACAAAGCTCATAAGCTAGAAAAGTGAGAGAGGCCCCTTTTCCTGGGATGGTGTGCTGATGTTCTGACGTTATAAACTAACAAGAGGTTTGGAATACATGAAGAGGCTCCACGTTAGGGTTAGCGTTTTCGTATTAGGGTTATTTTAAAAATGAAGAAATTCTAACATAACATGGAAGGTTTGGGGTGGAGCAGAGGACTTTTTTTTTTCCATTTCTTATCTGCTACTTTATTATGCAAACCTTTTTCATGTAGTTCCCTTTTTGGTCCTCTAGTGCCACACAATTAATTAAAATGAGAGTTTAGACACAAATATGTTCTTCTCTCTTTTTTTCTCACGTTGTTGGGCTCATGTTATAAATGAGGCCAATCCAGGAAGCCCACAAAGACGGTCTCCAATGAGTAATGCCAATGAGTAATGTGTTTCCACCATGGGCCCCTCTTCTTCAGAAAAAAATCATGCCACTATACCAGATGCTATTTACAGGATCTATTCTAGCCTAAAACGTTTTTCATCGGGGTGTAAACAAACATCCTTAATACTTTCTACTGGTTTTCACTTTATTGTTCAAAAATAAGTTAAATGCAAAACTTAAGTCATTTGATTTTTTATGTGTCATCCTAAGCACAAAACCGGGGCCACTTTTACTTTTCACAGGAAAATTAAGAAGATAGACTAGATGACAACAGTTTCCTCCATAAAGAATTGACAGTGTTGTCAGTAGACTAAATAGAGCTCTTACTGCCCTTTGTCAGCTTGTAATTGGGACCGTGAAGGCCCAGGGAACATCCAGCTCATCTGTCACAGAATCCATGCAACGGACAAGGCACCTGCAGCAGGACTCTTTCTCCAAAGTTAAACCCCCGTCTTAATACATGGCTCCTTTCCCCCTCAAATACAGATTCCTTCAGGATACTATCTGCAGATCATGAATTCCATCCTGAATTTGGGTGGGTTTCTTCTGCCCATTGCAGTAATGAATGTCATCCGCATCCGGCCACTGTTAATTCTGGCTCCTTGCATGGAATATTTCAGCACTTGCCTATTTCGCTCTAAGAGAGATGGACCATTTCTCCAGTGTGCATTAGTAAGTTCTTTACCATCTCAAGTGAACTGGTTGCAACTTTTTAAAATTAAAAAAAAACAAACAGAAAAACACTCTGCTAACATCTAAGCTAGCTATATGTTCTAAAGAAAGTCTGATTTTGACAAATTGGGAAGAAAGTGAATTTGAGAGTGTTAACATCCAGCTTCTCAAATCTCTATCAGACATCAGTGTCCCATTTTCTTCCCATTCTTTATGCCTCCTCAGAAGACACACCTGATGTAAAGACATGGTGAAACTTCCAGCATTATCAAATGGCCTATCCTCCTTCAAGTAAGGTGGTCCTTACTCCTGAGTCAACGCTGAGTATGTTCCTAAAAATTAATTCAGGTAAAAAAACCCAAAAAAATAATGCCAGGCTATACTTGGGAAGCATTAACTTCTGAACCAGTAGCAAAATTTATTTAAAATTATTACTGTGGTTCACAGCTTCACTATAGTACGTCTTCAAATAGTAAGGTACACAGCAATAATTTTCAAACATTTTTTTCCAGCTTTAGTGAAATATAATTGACATTTAACATCATGTAATTTTAAGGTGTATGATGTGATGTTTCGGTACACATATATATTGCAAAATATTTACCACAATAAGGTTAGTTAACACATCCTTTATCTCACATAATTACCATTTTGTTGTTAGGTGAGGACATTAAAGCTGTACTCTCACTTTTTAGTTAAAAAAAATTAGAGCATCTTACTCAGTATACAATTAATAAACCATAAAATAACTTTTTGCTGATTGAAATGGGAGAGAAGGAGCTGAAATCCATTCTGACCACACTGTCCTCTACCTACGTGTGGTCCCTCAGGCACTGACATGCTGGTTCAGTAAAACCAGGCTCAGTTTACCAATCAGAGATCTGCATCTCAGTCCATGCTCTGCCACTGAGCTGCATTTGGGAGACTTTGAAAAGCCACCTAACATTTTTTTCTTCTAGCTCACTTGTTATATTCACTGAGGGGCATACCCTAAATAAACTTTGGGTTCCTCCATTTTGTAAGACTTCTGGAATCACTCAGGATGACATCAGTGCCGGGAGCATAGCGCTGACAGAGAGGGAAAGCTCTATAAATGTTAGTGAGTATTGAGTGGGTCATCATTTGCAAGGGAGGAGTCGAATTGTTTGGCGGGCATCAACAGAAAGCAAAGGGAATTTGAAACTTTCAGAATATCATGTAATGGTAACCTGATGTCTTATCGTCTAATTGAGAAATAATTCCATTGAAATATTTGGGGGTAGGCATTTCAAAGATTCTCTTCCCTTTGTTAACTATTCTTATCCTTAATTCCTCCTTTTTAGAGATTTGTGGAGACCACGTAGTCTTCTATATATTACTATATTTTTTGCTATTTATCTGTTTATAGAAGTTACATTTTAGCATGTGTGCTTCCTGTCATTTACCAAAGCCACAATCACTCCAGATCACATCACAGGGCAGATTTGTTTTTGGGAAGAACTCACAGTGACTAAACTTTCCTTAGTTTATTTTGTTATCTTCAGTTGTCAAGGCCTTTAATACATAATCTTTTTTGATTTATTTGTAAAGCCAGTAACCCCAACATTATGTATTGTAATACATTTAGGCAAACTATAAATATTAATAGGTTTTTGACAGTCCTTAATCTTAAACAGTGCTTTTCTGTCTGCCAATGTGGAAATCCCAAAACCAGTACTTAGTGAATGTCCAGCATTATTTGAAAACACAAAAGAAAAGACATTGTACATACCCTCAGTAAGTATACTATTAAAACAGAATGAACGCAGGATAAAAGGGAGATAAATTTATATTGCAAAATGCCAAAAACTTTGCCAGTCTTGTACAGTACCATGAAAATCCAGTCTGAACTTCCAAACTACTTAATTACAAAAAAATTTCTAAAATTGTATTACTTTAGGAAAATATGCTGTACAACATGGCTGAAAGAACACAATTAGAAATCCTTCCCGAGAATACAAAATCTGAAATTCACTTTAAATATAAGCCACTTTCATGTCTATTCTTAAAGAAAGGTATGATTTTTTTCTGGATAAAGGAAAGTTAGACAGCATTATCTAATGTACTGTTTGATGTTAATGAACTAAATATTCCCCTTTAAGATTGGTAACAGACTTGTTGGGCAGCAAAAGGAAAAAACTATACTCATTTTAAAAAACTGAGCTATGTTCTCTGAGTACACAGTACTGAATTAAGTTGTTTCTAAACCAGATTTCATTCATTTGTTCATTTACATACTTGTTCATTTATTTGCATAATATTTTGCTATGGGAATATAGAAAAGCATGATGATATGCATCTTTTTAGCTAGATTTTGCTTAAGTTTCCCATATTCTGTTTAGGACTTTGGAAGATTAAATTTTATCAGGATATATAAGCATAAACCTTGTGTACTTTTTGGTAACAACTTACATAACTAAATTAGCCTAATATTAAAATATCCTTTCACTTTGAACTCAAGTGCCTTGAAAATGTGAGTGATATATAAGTATATAAATTATGAACAAATATTTATGAGCCCTTAATTTGAACATGGGCACCTTCATATGCATATCCCATTTAATCTCATGATAAACCAGCATTCAATATGTCAAGGGTCTCAAAGATAAGTGTCATATAAATTCAGGTTTTCTAATTCTAAGGCCATTGCAGTATTATTATTATTATTATTATTATTATTATTATTATTATTCCACTTACCAGCTATACACAGCTGTTAGATTACGGAAGTTAAACCACCAGTATTAATTTGGAATCCTTACTTCCAATAAGGCTCTGAAGTTAATGAAAAAAATTCTTCATCACCATTATGGGCAGTTACTCCTTAGATTCCCCCAATCCTTTCCACGTTCAGTCATTCCCCTTCCAAGGTCTGCCCTGTTTGAGGAGGCAGATGGCGCAGACAATGCCAATGTCTAGTGTTTGACACGGATAATCGCAGCACAGGCCGAGAGGGAGGGATAGAGAAATCTCACTAGATTGGTCAAACTAAAAATTTAATAAAGAAAAAAATAAGCTTATTTTTCTTATCTAGCTCATAAACAGTGCAACACAAGAGGGGTTTCTGATTCAAGACATGACATTCTTGAGTTTATCACCTACAGAAATCAAGAAGTATATCACAGTACCAACTACAAAATAATCTCCGAGTCTTCCAGAGCTGTAAGAGGCGAGGGCTTCATGTGCTCAGTGTTTCCTCCAGACTGGGCTTTTCCAACATGACATAGGAGCGGGTGTATCCCCTTAAAAGTTAACCTTAATTACCAAAACTTTAGAATCAGTGATTTCATTGTGATTTATCCATCTGTCATAATTGGACATACTTCATTTTAGCCTTTTTTGGTTCAAAGCTTTATATCACGAGCATTTCCTTTCTTTAGCATTAATTAAAATCCTGCAGTACGTGGCATTTAGTAGTTAGTGCTGACACACACAAGTATTAATCTGACTAAAATTAGCCTAATTAAGATTGTTATTAAGCCTTACACAAAGCAGAAGTGTACAACACAGTAGGTAGCAATTATCTTGACTTTTAAATGACATTTAAATTGAAATGCGGATGAAGTACATTCAAATATCTGCCATACCTTCCTTTTTAAAATTAAAACTTGAAAATTCAAATTCGAACTCCAAGTCCTTTGTGATATAGGTACAGTCCAGATGTTGGTCCCTTTTTACATAACAGGTAATTTCTACTAGTTCTAATGATTGGCAGTGATACAAAGTTTCTTTTTTGGTTGGAACCAAAGCACTTCATAAATTAAAAACCGAGTCCCCTGATCTAATCATTTCATTGAGAATAAGATTATTTTGGCAAAACTGCTTTTTCTGTACTACAGTTTTAGAACTGACAACTTTTTCCAAGAAATGTCACAGTGCATATCCATTACAAAATACCTGATAGGAAAAACTGTGTAAAC